TTACACCTATTTTGTTAACTCCAGCCCTGTTCCATCAGTCTTATACTCGTGTGTCAATTCAGTAAGGTCCTGGCTATGTGGCTTCCATGTGCATATATCCTAATATTCACTGTTGTGCCTGCACATTCGCTCTGCATTCTCTATTCAGTCCTATGGAGAGAGAGCCTGCAGCTTCTCCCAAATTGTCTCCCTTTCACTCAGGCCAATCTCATATTTAGGTTACAAGGATATGTCTGCCAGACAACCATTCTGCAAGTGAAATGAGGTAACGACCGATTTGCGATAGTTTCAAAATGTTGCTATTTGAGATGGCATTATTTGGGGCTCAAACTAAATATTTTCTCAGCATAATGGATCATTAAAAATTCTGTCACTAGAGAACTGCCAGTTTGTACCAGCAGCTGAGCTGTGTGAATGAGGAACATGTGAGGACAGGTAGAGAATGTGGCTCTCCCTGTATAACTGCTATCTTTCATTCACCATGCCCTAGGGCTGCGTAACTTTGTGTTTTAGATTATCATTGCCTTTGGCTGTATTTCACTTGTGCTTGCAGTGCTGTAAAGACTCTTCTGTTAACAGTTTCATTGCTGACAGACATCCAGAACAAATCAGGTTACCACCTTTTCATTTTGTTCATTGCTGCAGTTGTATTTTTTTTATTTACTTATTTTTTGATCATGTAAAGCAAAACACAAAATTGTTTATTTTAATAAGAAAGTGTTGAAATCACTAAAGAAATCCAATTACTGCTTTTTATTATTATTATAATACAGGATTTATATAGCGCCAACAGTTTGATCAACGCTTTACAATATAAAGGGGACAATACAGTTCAATAGAAGAGGGTTAGGAGGGCCCTTACAATCTAAGGGGGAGGGGCTGGTGATACAAAAGGTAATAACTGTGGGGGTTAAACTGATAGAAGGAATAGAAAATTCTGTTATTAGCTGAAGGCAGGATAGGCTTCCCTGAAGAGATAGGTTTTCAGAGATCGCCTAAAAGTGCACAGAGTAGGCGATAGTCTGATAGATTGGGGTAGAGCGTTCCAGAGGAAGTCTTGGAGATGAGCATGGGAGGAGGAGATAAGGGAGCTAGATAGCGAGAGGAGTGGAGAGGATGGTTTGGGTGATATTTGGAGACAAGATTGGTGATGTAATTTGGGGCAGAGTTATAAATGGCTTTATATGTTATTAATGTTTTCAATTTTATTAGTGGGGCAAAGCCAGTGGAGGGATTGGCAGAGAGGGGTGGCAGATATGAAACAGTTAATAAGGTGGATGAGTCTGGCAGCAGCATTCATGATAGATTGAAGAGGGGATAGCCTACAATTAGGTAGGCCAATGAGGAGGGAGTTACAATAGTCAAGGCGAGAGATGCAAGAAGGCATTTTGCTATGCCAGCACTTCTGGGGTTAATTCTAGTGGTTCCTGTCTTACTTTGTGCCATGTAGCCCATGTCCACTTTTTATAATGTGTATTCTTTTCTGAATGTCTCTGTTACCAAGTCAAACAGGGATAGTCCAGGCTGGCTTTGTTCTTTTGTGTTCTCACTTCACTGTCTGCTCATACATTGCTTTAGGTCAGTCATTTCTTTGTGTTTTCTTGACTGATCTCGATGACAGTCAAAGATACCTTTCTGGAGGGCTTGGCAAATGGACAGATTTTTGTTGCTTAACACCACAATATCTACCCAGTGAATTTTATTTTAATGCTGCTGATATTCTTGTAACTTTACAAGGGTCCTGTGTAACCCACACTGCATATCAGCAAGTTCTTAAGTAGAATCTCCCCCCACCCCTGCCCCCCATGCTGAGATTGCTTTGAGATGAAGTATATGTATACAATAACTAGTTAAGAACTACTAGACACAATGTTTATATAGCTCTGTACTTATGAATGTGCTGCACAACATTACACAACCCTATAAGGAGCGGTACAGTAAATTCTTTAACAACCTGAGGTAGTGCAATGCAAAGCTTTGATATGTAGGTACATCCACGATCCCTTTACCTTCTTCCAGCCCTTTTGTTTGTTGCGCTCTGTATTTGTTACCAGTTTCCAATAACATTGAAGTTTTAAAGTGTGACGACATAAGCAAACAAAATTTGATGGTTTATGTATCTGAGCTGAGCAAAAACTTTACTTTGCAAGATGTGCAGTTAAAATGGCCACCTAATATAAGCAGCGACATTTCAGAAAAAATAACTTCTTCTATGGTATACAAAATGCTTGCTGTTCATGAGTCTGCGATCTAAGAGAGATATAGAAAAACAATTGGAGCTGTGTATGGCCCTCCTCTTCAGGATGTCATAAAAAAACATTCCCATACAGATTCCCTGAGACCACAGACACAGACAAACAGCTATTTCTTCAAAATAACAAAAGGTAGGAATCTGCAACAAAGTTTGTTAAAATTTTTGCAATGTTTATAGATCACCCAGAAGGGAATGTTTGTTTCTCAGCAGAAGTGGAATTACTGTTTAAGTGCCCCCCACCCCAAACTGCTGCCAAAGCCCCTGTAAACTCCCATGTAAGTTTTAATTCCTGAGAAAATCAACATGTAGGATGTGTTTGCACTGAGATGACCGTGCTCGAGCCTAGTGATTTCCTGTACTGAGTAACACAAGGCGTAGCATTATGTGTTCTCCATACCTTGAAGTACCAGGTATTTAGTGGAACCTTGACATGGGGGGAACCCAAGGAAGGCAAGATAGAATATTAAAGTATGCCTGTAATATTGCCATAGCAGGGCACCTCCCTTCAGTTACAACTGTAAAAAATGTCTTCCATAATAAATCTATTTCTAATGTCAACTTTTGTGGGCTCTGTTTCCATGTAAAAGGCATAATCATGTATGGAACATTTTCATTATTATTTGCATCTAGGTAATTAGTATTTTCAAGCAGACAAAGATGTAAAACCTGTATAATTCTGTGTTGTATAGCTATAAGTAAAACTAGTCTGCTCCCGTTAGTACAAATTTTAAAATCTAGAGAAATACTTGCTCAGAGAGATTGATGTAATTATAGGTTTATGTACCAGTCTGACATTGCTACATCTCTGAGTCAGCGCTTTCCCTCTAATCATATGTTCACCGACACTTGGAGAATATGCTCCAGATTATTATGTTTAGCTAAAAAAGATTCTTGCTGCGGTTGTGAAATAAAACCCGGGTTTTAGGGTTTTTTGTCTTCAGTAACTCTTTGTGTGGATGTAGCTTTCAGGATTTGAAGTACAGCCACAGGTTGACACATGTTTTTAGAAGAAATGTCCACTTAAAGTGGAACTACACTGCATCTGAGCACCACAAACCAAAATGCTATTTAATTCATTTTAATATTCAAAGCAAACTCCTCCGTGCATGTCTTCATGGTTTTTTTTTTTTTTTTTTTTTTGCTGAGAAATCATTTTGAAAAACATCCCCTGGCATTTCTGGCCATTGCCATCTTGAACAAGGACACTTGATTCATGTAGTATGTACTTGCTGGAGTCCATCTGCCCTTAGCTCAGATACAGGCTGATCTTAGAACCCTCTCTCCTCTCCTGAAGACCACTTGGATGTATGATATCATTTGCCTAGGTATATAAACCAGGAAGTAATTGAAGAAATGTTAAAAAAGGTTTAAAACAAGTAAATATGATATACTTCCCTATCTATTTACTAATACTAGCAGCGTAAGGATTAAAAATAGTCCATGTTGATTGAGAGAGTGAAGCTCCACTTTAAGATTTACTTCTCTGCTCCTTAAGGTAAAATCTTTTCTTATCTTCTGAACAGGAGAGTAGGAGGGGACTAACAAATAGATGTTTTTGTTTCCTTAGTTATAAACCAAAGATAGCTATAACCATGTGATGATGGTCGTCCAGTTTGCTTACTTTTGGTCAGACCTGGCAAAAGTCACATATGTCTGTTAGTAGCCACCGATGCTGCTAGTTTCAGAATCAGTGATCTGTCAGGCAGGTCAGATCACCGACTCTGATGAGTATAATATTCTCCCTTCTTCACCCATGCCTCACCTTTATAGGAAATCTGTAATAAGGAAGTATGGAGGCTGCTGTTATTACTGCCTTCTGCTACTGAAAATACAAATTCCCTTGCTGTCACACAGAAGTATCTTGAACTATTAAGTTGGGTGGATAATTAACCATTTAAGCCCCGGGAGGTTTTTCCCCCTTCATGACCAGGCAATATTTTCCTATTTAGCACTGCGCTACTTTAACTGACGATTGCACGGTCATGCAAATCTGTACCCAAATGAAATTTAGATCCTTTTTTTTTCCACAAAAATAGAACTTTCTTTGGTGGTAATTGATCACCACTGGCATTTATATTTTTTGCTATTTAAATGAAGAAATACCAAACATTGAAAAAAACAATGTTTTTTTACTTTCTGCTATAAAATATATTCAATAAAAATATAAAAAAAATTTAATACACTTTGGCCAAAATCTATTCTGCTACATGTCTTTGGTTAAAAAAAAAATCTCAATAGGAAATCACATATTGATGTGCGTGAAAGTTATAGCGTCTACAAATTATGGGTTATATATTGTAAATTTTATTTATTTTATACTGCTGATCAGCAGCTTATAATGGGGCTGTGACAGTGCGGTGGGCAATCTGACACTGACGCTAAGGGGAGCTGACTGACTGCCACTGACATCTCCAGTGACACTAATACAGTGATCAGTGATAATGCTATACACTGTCACTGTACTAATGACATTAGCTGGGAAAGGGGTTAACATCTACAGCAATCAAGGTGTTAAATGTGTGCCTAGCAATGTGTAATGTTGTGTGTATTATGTGCTGCTTTTACTAAAAGATCTTTTTGTTTCTCATCCCTGCTTTATGCAGAACATGGAAGTGCAATTATTTTAGTAAATATAAACTGCTAAATACCTTTTCTCATTAACAGTTAGAGAAGTCTTGAGGCTTCAGCTGAGCACTGGTTAAAGCTTGTAGGAAGAGTTTTCTTTCTGCTCTAGGAGTCCCCTGACCTCTGTCTGGACAGTGCTGATTGGCCCTGTGCTTATCACATGCACTCTCTCAAGAAAAAAAAAAAAATCCTCTCTAGCAATACACACTAAACTGAGCATGTGCAGCATGGTTATGTTCAGTCTGTCTTATCAGCATGGACATTTGAACAAGAGGAGGGGCAGAGAAATCAGGATCAACCCTCATTTTTACACAGTGCAGAGGATTAACCCCTTAGGATCCACAGTGAGTATAACAAGCATGCTTTACTGCATATACAGACTGATTTTACTGTTGTGGGTTTAGTAACACTTTAAAGGAAAAGTCATTAACCTGTAATAAGTATGCAGATTAAAATTCCACACTATAGTATGCTCCAAAGGTACCACAAACCTGTTTTTTTTTTTTTTGCACTCTGTACACATTACAAAATGCATGTATTCATACCATTCATTCCTTATGTGTACAGTATTTGTCAGTACATGCTGGCATATTCACTGTGTGGCAAAAGCACTGCTGCACAAATGCATAAATAGTCTGAAATCCTCAGCATCAAGGAAGATATGCTGTAGGTCTACTTTGTATCTGTGTGACAGAAGAAAAAAATCATAGTAAGTTGTTTAGTGAACCATGAGAACTGCTTGTGGTACAGCTACTGATATAAACAGGAAAGGGCAGCAGTAACAAATGATCTCATGCAGTGTGTTCATTTACACTCTGTAAAGATTCTTACAGACTTCCTGTTTGCTGTTTCTTCTGATGGGTTATTAGATATTTCTTTGCCCCAGGGATGGAATATAAGCTGTTGGAATGATAGTTACCCCTTAGAGATTTGCCTGTAAAAGACTGCAGTAATAGTTTTATCTCAAGGCTTCCATTTGCTTTCAGCTTAATGTGTATTTCATTTACATTTTTGTGGACTTGCGTATAATATTTATACAGGATTTATATAGAGCCAGCAGATTGTGCAATGCTTTACAAAATGGAGGGAGACAGTACAATTACAATACAGTTCAATACAAGAGGGCTCAGTGGGAATAGTTGAAACCTCTGTCAGGTTTTTGTTGCCCATTGAAATTTTCCTTCACTGCCTGTCCTGTAGACACAATGGGAAGTTACAGGAAATCTCTTCAAAGTGCAGGAAATCCCCTCTTAGACAGATATCTGTGAAACAAATGTTCCTACCAAAAAAATAATAAAGAAGAATCTTTTTGTAAAGCTGTTTTTCACAAAAAACAAAAAAAAATCAAATCAAAAACCTAAATCCTTAGTAAATCTCACTTGCAACACCACCTGCTAGTGAAATCTGATATAGTGCAACATAGGCACAAAATTATAATTTATTTTGGTGGTCGAACTTCAGTCTACCAAGCACAGGCTTTCCCCCAGAGGTTGTTAAAGTGTTACTAAACCCAGGACCCTGTATTCACTAGATCTGGTCTTCCACAGTACACAGAACATGGAAATGCAATTATTTTAGTAAATATAAACTACTAAATACCTTTTCTCATCAGCAGTTAAAGCAGTCATGTGACTTCTACCAGTGTCCAGCAGAGCACTTGTTAAACCTTGTAGGAGGAGTTTTTATTGTCCCCTGATTGTCCTAGGAGGCTGCATAACCCCTCACCTTCTGTCTGAACAGCTCTGATTGGCCCTATGCTGATCACATTAGCTCTCCCAAGAAAAAAAAATACCTCTCTAGCAATGCACACCAAACTGAGCATGTTCAACTTGCCCCCAAGGCTCTGTTCTATCAGCAGATGAATTGGGGACAGTAGAAGAAGGGGAGGATAAGAGAAAACTGGATCAAACCACCTTTTTACATAATGCGGATGATTAACCCCTTAGGTTCCACAGTGAGTATAACAAGCATGCTTTACTGCATATACAGACTGATTTTACTGTTGTAGGTTTAGTAACACCTTAAGGGTTTCTTATGAACAATGACAAATTGATCTTCCAGATACAGTGACGGCTAATGTAAGAAGCACATTTTCCACTAACACACGTAAGAAGTCATTTCTACACTAATCACCAGTGCAAGAGGCTTTTTTTCCCACTAATCACCAATGTAAAGCGGCATTTATCCACTGACCAAAAATGTAGTCAGGGACACTACAGTTTGTACAGTCTGTGTTTCTCTTCTTGCATTTATTATTCATTTTCATGAGTATTATTGACTTGGAGAGCAAGGGAGTGTTTGAAAAATAATCACCTCTGGGGGACAAATATTCTAGGTATGCCATATTCTTTCTTTTATTTAAAACTTTCAACAGCTTAATGATCATGCTATTTTACCATACAATATCAGTATATTTAGAAGGGTTTCCCTGAGACATAAAAGTTATTTTGAGGGTTCCTCCAGGGTAAAAAGGCTGAGAGTCTGACCTGGAATGTCTCACAACTGCAGGGCTTCCTGAGGACGCCAATCGGCGAAACATGTAGAGGCAGTTGTTACATCCGCCATATAATACTGACGTCACTACCAGGTCCAGGGATTGGAATGCACACTGAGCTCCCGGAAGCAGACTGGCAGTGCACACATGCTGAGTGTATTGGTGCCCGAATACTGGGTACCTTAATATGCAAGTACATTACTTCCTTTTATGTCTGGCATTTAGACTTTTAATATACTATACTATGAGTGATTATTTTTTATGATCCATATCTCAACACTGGATTAAAGACTATGGGATATCGGGGCGCATTTTACCTTCCTTTTGTTTAAGGTGGTCATGGATCTGTGGTGAAGGCATTGGAGTGGTACGATTGGTGAAGCACTATTGAGATTTTTTTGGCACAGTAAAGAGTGAATTCACCTACTGTTTGTTGTGGGACTTATTTATCCGCATATTTATGTTATAGGATTTTATTCATAGAGACATTATTTATGGTAAAATGTGAGTGCCATACTTTTTGATATTTTTCAACTGCAGGACTGTGTTCACTCTGTCCTTTTCTAGGGGCAGTTAGTTGGGACCTCTCCTTGTTACTATATAAGGTAGTCCCAGATGAGCAGAGGACTTCCTTAGAACACGTAGAACCAGGGGCGGACTGACAACTCATGGGGCCCCCGGGCAATAGGGGATCATGGGGCCCCTGTGTTCTTGCCCAAACTCAAAAAACCTATGAAAAAGGTACCAGGGGCATCTTATGGGGCCCCCTACTGACCTCGGGCATTGCCCGAGTTTCCAAATGGTCAGTCCGCCCCTGCGTAAAACAAATGTTTATGCAAATGCAAGTAGAGCCGATGCTGTACTCATCAAGAGTCAAACATTCTTATCATAGAATATTTTTCCATCAAGTAACCCAAATCATTCAATAATAAACTCAAATATTTAGGGTACAGAAACTTCAACTCTTAAGCCAACTTCATGTTTATTATAGAGCAGATTAATGAGTTACTGGAAGCCTCCAGAGTAATGCAGAACAGATGCTAAGGTCAGAGTCCACACTTTACGAAAAATGCAGAGCTCAGTCTTAGCCAGCATATTTAAATTTCCATATTTTTTTTTCAGTTTGATTCCCCCCACACCCTCTGCATTTTTAAACTTTTTTTCAGTTATGTAATTCGTTGCTAGGAAAAAATACTGTAAATACTAAACCCATTTCTTATTGAGGAAACAGTGTATGATTATTTTTTGTTTGACAACGAAAGCAGTTGCATCAGTTTGTTTTTCCACTTCCAAATATCATATGTTACTGTGCCTATAGTTTAGACCACTTCCTCCTTGTGCTATATAAATAGCCTAGGCTTACTTGCAAATGTGCGCTGTCAAACAGATTCACATTTCCTGCTGCTCTTGTGGATAGATAGAAGATTGAAATGCCTGCTCCTAAAATGATTACTCCACGGGGCACTGATCCTTAGGATAGTAATAGGAAGCACATCCTGTTATAAATTTCTCTCTGTTTCTTCTCTCTCCTGAAGCAAGGATCTTTTCCCAAACAGGCTTTAGGAAAAAAAAAAGTATATCCTGTCTAATTTAGAAAGACACATGAACATACATTTCCTGCTGTACTCTAGAAAATCAGTGCAAAACCTTTACTATTGGTTTGTATTGACTGCTGCATGTCAGTTTACAGAGATAACATTTAACTCGGCAATAATTCTCATTTATTTCATCAGGAAAGACCAGTCCTTTTGATCTTGGAATCTGGGTTCCACGAGAGGTTGCTAGTGTTCATGAGAGATCCTTATAGTTGGCATGACCTGTTCAAGTGGATTGATCTCTTATCAGAAGGTGCCTGCCTAGTTCTATTACCTACATCACTTGGCAGAGCCAGCAACGTAGGACCAGTAGAGGATCCATAAGGTAAGTAACCATTAATACTAATGTATTTTTTTTTTTTTTTCCTTTCTGTAGGGGGAATTCTTCCTATTGACCACTGATGAAACCAGGAATTAATTCCCCTTAAGGTTAGGTTCACATCTATGCAGGTTGCGGTTGATGCATTTTTCAGTGCGTTTTGCATTTTTGAACATGTGTTTTTGCTGCGTTTTCCTTTTTTTTTTAATAGAAAGGTATGACGGCTCTGTTCATGTAGTGCAACTTTGCATTCTCTGGCACTCAAGTAGCATCAAAGTAGTGCAGGAACCTTGTGACCAAAGTCACATGTTAGGGCTAAGGGTTAGGGTTCCAAACAAATACCGCTAACTCTAACTCTGTCTCTAACCCTAGCCCTGAACCCTAGCCATTAACCCTAACATGCGACTTTGATGCTACTTGAGTGCAGAGAGTGTAAATTCATATCAAAGTCTCACTACATACATGGAAATGTCATACTTTTCTATTAGCAAAAAACACAACACTTGCGCTTTTGTTGTTGGTTCATTGAAGCTTATTACATACAAAATGCAGTCTGCTGCAGGAAAAAGTCCCTGACCCTTTCCAAAAAAAACGCACCAGTTCAAAATGCACAGATGTGAACTAGATCCATAGGAAATCATGTTAAATGGGCTGTAGTGCATTTCTGCAAACTGGAAAACACACTGAAATTCTCATAAGTGTGAACCTAGGGTTACACCAGTGTTAGAATCAGCTTTTGCAGTGATCACTGAAATAAGGGGAATTCTGCCTTCCATTTACTAATGTAAGGAACATTCTTCCTCTTCTTGAACACCAAAGTAAAGGGCATATTTTGTTCCATTGACACATAAAATAAAGGAATATAACTGTTTTAGGGACTATGCTTGTTATCCATTCTTGTTGATCCCTATAGCCCTACACCATGGATGCCATTGTTTCCATGCACTGCACTGAAGATTGCCAACAACTCTGAAACAGCTGTATGTCATTTGGAATATATTGCTCTTCTAAATTAGGCTGTGCTACACGTCAGTAGTTGTAGATGTGCAGTTACCCATTCAAAAATATACTGTGGGAATTATTTGCATGGCTTTGCCTACTGTCCTACAATGAGGAATAATCCTCATGTATTTGGGATATTTGATATGAGACATGCAGAAATACACTTTTTACCGTAACTATCAAGGCTAGTCTTTTGAAAAAAAAATTTTTTAGCCTGACATGAGCCATTTATTGGACCTGCATTGCATGCTATTGTGGTATATCCCCATTTCAGTGAATAGGCCCTGTTTATTGAGGGTACTGCCCGATGAACGTGACAGCGAGGCTATATCCTGAAACACTGATCTTTGTATTCTGACAGCAAGGAAGTATCCCCGTTGTTAAAATACAGTGACACAGTGGGGAGGAGTTCCCCATCCACCTGAGGTGTGTAGATGGGAAAATTGGGTCAGTTTTTTTCTTTAACCTGTTGTGGGGTCCCTAAGCAATATAAGACAACATTTTTTACACTCTTCTGTATCCTTTTGTGCTGATAGGTATATCTTCTGATGAATGCAATTTTTTTAGCACTTTCCAGGGTTCCCTTCTTGTACCCTTTTTAACAAATCTGTTCACCAGTATGTCTGTTTTTGTTTCATATTCAGAATCTAAATCAGTTTCTCCTAATTCTCATCAGTTGCCCATTGTATAAATAAAAAATACACTTTAATTTTAATGTAAAAAACACAATATATAACCCATTTTTTTTTTAAAATATAACAGATGATGTTGTAAATAGATACCTAACGTCATTCTTTAAAATTGTGCATGCTTGTTGAATGGTGCCAAACTACGGTATTTAAAAATCTCCATGGGCAACTCTTTAAACATTTTTACAGGTTACCCATTTAAAGTTACAGAGGTGGTCTAGTGCTAGAAATATTTATCTTGCTAGAAGGTTTGCAGCTATTCCTCACATGTGTGGTGCGAACACAGTGTACATATACGAGTATGACCCACGTATGTGTTCGCCACTATGCGGGTACAGGGGCTCTTTTAAAAACTTTTCTGTTTTTACACGGTTCCTTTTATATTTTTTAAACATCCCTTGTGATAGAAATAAGGCATGGTAGGTTATGGAGAGATTTGGGGTCTTTAAGATCCTAGTTCTCTCCTCTATGCTGGAAAGCATGAGATAATTTTTTTTTATCTCGGGCTTTCCAGCACAATAAAAAAGAAGACAACAGTGTTTACATCTGCCAGAGCCGGAAGTGACGTCATGACATTACTTCCAGCCTCCCAGAGCCATAGAGATGGCCAGGGACGATCTGGTCCTCAGACAGCTCTGTGATAACCTGGCAGCAGCGCCAGATCGAATTCTGGACTTCCTGATTGCACGGTAAGCCGGGTAACAGCGCTCCCGCCACCTGTAAAAGTAATCCACCTGCTGTTAAGCTGCTCGGATTACTTTACTTCAAAGAGAATCATGTGCTGTGAAAAAATTATATTGGCATCATGGTTGTGGCCTCAACAATGATCCCACTATAACCGCTTCCCTTCCAGGACATGTCTGTGGAGGTCTGCAGTGATGGTTGTCCTTCTGGAGCTTTGTCCCATCTCCGCGCAGGATCTCTGGAGCTCAGTTAGAGTGACCATCATCGGGTAATCTTGGTCACCTCTCCTACTAAGGCCCTTCTCCCCTGATTTCTCAGTTTGACTAGGTGACTGGTTCTTTGAAGAGTTTTGGTTGTGCCATAGTTCCTAAATTGGAGGCCACTGTGCTCTTGTGATCTTTTTGTAGCTTTCTCCAGTTCTGTGCCTTGCAATAATTCTATCTCTGAGCTCTGTAGGCAGTTCTTTTGACCTCATGGTTTTTGCTCTGATACAGTATGCTTTGTCAGCTGTGAGGCATTTTATAGAGGTGTGTGCCTTTCCAAATCCTGTCCAATCAATTTAATTTAGCACAGGTGGACTCCAATCAAGATGTAGAAATCTATCAGAAGCGATCAAAATAAACGGGAGACACCTGAGCTAAATTTGTTGCAAAGGGTCTGAATACTTATGCCAATGTGATGAAGGTGGCTATGTTCCTACATAGAGTGAAATCTAGCCACCCTCTAACAAAAAGTTGGATCACAGCAGCAAAAAAAAAAAGAAGAAAGAATCTGGAGGGGACTGAGAGCAATAGAAGGTACTTCTATGAGTTAAAAACATATACTTGAATAGATATTTGTTTTCATTAAAGTTTAGTGTCACTGTAACTGATTATCCATGGGGGCATATATACTCCTGTGCATGGGTCATTTTGAGAACCTCCTGCTCCTTTTCTTTTTATGTTTTCCTTATTTGTTATAGGGGGCAGACTTTATACCTTGTCATTTTTGATAATTGTTATTTATGCTCCCATGCAAGGTGTGCAAAGAATGAGACTTTATATGAACAGTAGAATGTGGTTATTCAAACAGCTGCAGTCCGTTATTTTTTTTTTCCCTTTTTATATGCTTTGTGCCAAAGTGAATTCTTTTGAGGTCCATAACCCTGCACTTGGCTACAAAGCTCAGAGAATGATGCTATTCAGCAACAGTTACTAGTTATTCTAAAAATGTAGCTATGTGGGTAGCCAAGGTCATTGAACGTGAATACTGCTGTTTAAAGTCCTGTTATTTTCCCTAAGTCCCAAATCACTTACTATGGAGTAGCACTCCGGTTTTTATACCTCAATTTTTATAAGCAATGCTCCAAAAGATATTGGTAAAATGACAAAATATAGCGTTCATGGTACTTGGAAAGAAATAAAGAAAATCAGTTGACTTTTAAAAGCTTTTAATGTAATAATA